ATTTCAAGATTAAACTGATCCATAAGTCTGGATGTCCTAGAGGTGCATCAGTGCCCAACAGAGGAAGAGCTAGCGTATAAAATATAATTATTTGTGAAAAATAAAAGTGATGACAGCGTTGGTAGAAAGAAACAGGTAAAGGAGAATAGAGTTGAAGGGAGGAGAAGGTCAGAGACAACAGTAGGAGAACGAGGAGAAGGACAGTGACAACAGGAGGAGGAGGTCAGTGACAACAGGAGGATGAGGACAAGGAGGAGGTCAGTGACAACAGGAGGAGGTCAGTGACAACAGGAGGAGGCGGTCAGTGACAACAGGAGGATGAGGACAAGGAGGAGGTCAGTGACAACAGGAGGAGGTCAGTGACAACAGGAGGAGGTCAGTGACAACAGGAGGATGAGGACAAGGAGGAGGTCAGTGACAACAGGAGGATGAGGACAAGGAGGAGGTTAGTGACAACAGGAAGAGGAGGTTAGTGACAACAGGAGGAGGAGGTCAGTGACACCAGAAGGAGGAGGTGGTCTAGTAAAACCGAGTGATGTAGTGGAGGCAAGTGACGGTAGTGAGAGCAGGCGGAAATTCCCCTCGTGATCTCTCTGTCTGGCGGGCTCTCTCTGATAGATCGTTATAGCTGCCATAAGGACACCCTGTTTACACAGCTCCCTGGCCTCCACTGACCTGTCGAGAACCCTCACCCCCCCCCCCTCCAGGCGTAAGCATCTCTCTCTCTCTCTCTCTCTCTCTCTCTCTCTCTCTCTCTCTCTCTCTCTCTCTCTCTCTCTCTCTCTCTCTCTCTCTCTCTCTCTCTCTCGTCTCTCTCTCTCTCTCTCACGCTCGCTGTCTCTTTTCCTCTCCTAGCCTTTGTTTATCTCTTTGCCTGTCTCTCATCATGTCCCTCTCTGTCTCTGTGTCTCTCTCCAATCTCCGTCTATCTCTCTCCCCTCCCTCTCTCTGCCTTTGTCTCTGTCTATTTCTCTCTCCTCCCTTTCTCCTAAGGATGCTCGGCCCTTGCTACTGATGTAGTAAATTGTCTGAAGTTACCTTCACCAAGGACCCACGAATAAAAAACAGGGCATCACGTACATTTTGCGAGCCGCAATGATTTTTCTGGACTATGGGGATTTTATCCGTCAAAATGCGATGTACTATTCGAGAGGACGGGTTGCAGATTGATGAGAGCCGGAAGAGTCTCTCCGGAGTTATCAAGCCATTGATGTCCCTCTATTTCGTAATTCTCGGAAAAATTCTTGAATAGGATCTTCCTCGTATTCCACAATTGTCACAGACAGATACTCTTTTTATCCCTTACGGTCGACAAACGTGCTCTAGCTCCCGAGCCCAATTCTACGTGTTATTACAATCTTCCCCTCAGCATGATCGGAAATTTTGCTTTCCCCATTTGTTCCTTTTGAGTCATTTGTTCCTCGATAAAATTCACCCTGTATCTGATGCCTTTGACGTCGGTCGTCGTGGGTATTTTTGCTCTCGTATTGACATTGTGAATAATATCTGGGCACTTTTGAATATTCTGTGACACAGCCGGTGCTACATAGTCTTTCAAACTTGGCGTCTTCTTTTGATAATTACTTACGACCTTCACAAAACTACGTTGACTGCAGTTTCAGCTTCCTCTATAACATCCGGTGCTGTTCGATCACCCCACAACGGTGTCCTCTAAGTTCAACCAGCAAGGGGGAAGTGGTGTTCTGTTCTCCATAGCGCTAGCAAATTAGGTCTGAGCGGACATAGGCTGCTCTCCTTTATCCTCTGATACATTCATGACACTTCTAAATTCCTAAACCGTATCAATTTTTTGTATCCAGAGCCACCAAAAAGCTTGGAGCTGAGCGGCTTCGTGTGTGTGACCTTTCTCAGGCACGGATGATCTCACCACGAGCAATTGCAATGCCGGTGAGTCAAGTCAGGGTCCACACTGCAACATTGCTCGATTTCGCTATCTAGGATGCCTACACCAATCACAGAGTTCCTAACACCGCACCTGCCCTCTCATTGGCTGAAACGGAGTACTGAACTTCGAAGAAACTATTGATAGCATGGCTATGCACTTCACTTTAGACTCTGTACCACTTTATGTATTAAGAATTGTTAAAAAAATTCATCACAGGTCCTAAATATCCATCCTGAGGCCATGAAGCCTCTTACTGGATACATTAGCGAAGCTCTAAAGCTCTAATAACTACTGAAACACTCGCGATTCCCATGGTAGCAGTAAAACAGTATTATAACCCCATAGAAAGTTTACAGTTATAATATACATCTTCACAGTCTTTGGAAACGTTGTAAGTAGTAAGCTTACAAAACACATGGAATAGCAACGTCTATACGATGAAGGGCAACATGGGTTAGACATTGGAATCGCCTGCCGCTTTTGGTGAATACATTGGAAGACAAACAAAATAGTTAATGTGCAAAGATTTCGCCGTAGACTTCGATACAATGCAACTATGGCGTAATAGCGAACAACATTAGCATGGACGAAATACGTACTTAACAAGCCGAGCCTAAAGACTGTGCAAGTAGCAACAGTGCGGTTGATGAAACAGTCAACCAGGAAGCCTTCGGTGTGACGCCGAGCAGCTGGGTCAGTCATCCCAAGAATCAACATATTGGTTGAAGGTTCCCATTCCTAATCTCCTCTACGTTATTTCTTGCTCTACACAACAACGCCTCCATGACCACACATCACCCCGCCCAACCCTCCGTCACCCCAATCTCGCCCCCTCCATCATCCCCCTCACCGCCCCTCCTCACCCCATACCGTCCCTACATCACCCCTAACCTCTATCTTGAGGTTAGGCGGTTTAGAGGACCTTAGTCGAAAGTAAAAAAAACACAACCGTTGCAATTTTTACGGAGTGGCTTCCTCCTTTCCCCTCACCGCCCCATCCGACCCCTCACCCCTGCCTGACAAGTGTCCGGCGTTGAAGGGAGGAGGGGGAAGGTAAGCCAGTAATCCACAGTTCCCGTCCGGCCACGTCCGGCCGCCTCCGCCTTCACGCAGTCTCTCATGTTTTCCTTGTAGCCGTCTTGTGTTTTGTGAGCGTCCGAGGGAAGGGAAGGGAAGGGAAGGGAAGGGAAGGGAAGGGAAGGGAAGGGAAGGGAAGGGAAGGGAGAGGTGAAGGGAAGGAGTGGAAGGAAGATATGAGAAGGAAGGGAGGAAGACCAAGAGGACGGTAGATGAAAAGATCTAAAAGGACATAAGAGAGGTTACATAGGGAAGAGGGAACTAGAGGTAACATATATAAAGGAAGAGGAACCAGGGAAATAATGATAGCTGGAAGGAAAAGAGAGAGACTGGGAGAGGAATGGTGAACGTGCGAGAAGACAGTGGAATGGGAAGAGGAACGGGGTGGGAGGGATGTCCGCAAGGAGACGAGATGTGGAAATTGGTAAGAAAAAAAAGGAAGAATATTTTATGGGTGAGGGGAAGAAGAGTGGGGGAAAACTAGCTGATGGAAGACGTAGGAGAGAGGGAGAAAGAAGGTAGAGAGAGAGGGGGGTTAGAGAGGGAGGTGGGAGAGGTTGGAGACGGAGGTGAGAGAGGAAGATAAGACAGGAAGGTGGAAAAGGAAGATGCAATAGGACAACGTGGAAAGAAACTTCCACGTTGAGATGGAAGAGATGGAACTTGAGATGGAACTTGGAATGGAACTGGAGATGCAACGCTGAGATGGAACTTTCTACGTGGAAGAAACTTTCACGTAGAAAGAAAGAAACTAATTTGACAGGAATGAAGGAAGCCAAGAAACATGGTGGGACATAAATAAACTAAGAGGACAAAAAGAAATGGCAGAATTAGAATGTAGGAAAATATTAGTGAGACAAAAACGTTGGAAGGAGCTTTCGAACGAAGAGAGTACAAGAAAATACGTAAAAATAACAAAAATAGTGAGAGACAGAGACAGAGTAGTAAATGACAGATTCTCATTCAAAACAGAGTGAAATCAAAGTAAAAGTAAGAAGCAAAATGGAAAAATAAATAGTAAAGGATACACAGAGGAATAATGAGATGGGAAGTGTATCCATAAGAAAAGCAATAACACAAGGATGTTATTGCCTTGTTATCGGGCCGCGGGGACACTAAAAAGCCCCGAAATCATCTCAAGATACTCAAGATAACCAAGATAACCAGGATGAATATTAAACAAATGAATGTCAATAAAGGCAGAGGAATCATACACTGGGAGTCTCTGAGTGAACACAGATCGCACAAAGCACTAACACACAAAAAATTGTCAATGACATTCCAAAGGATGTTTGAGCTGCTAAACAAAATATATTTGAGATTAAATCGTTCTGTATAATATGGCATGTTGGCATTTAAATCCTGATACTGTTGATATGCTTGCAAAACCAGCCAGTAGCAGAACAGAAGGAGAAATTTAATGTAAGTATTTCATTAGACAATACGAATAAAATACTAAAAATGAATGTCAGATGAAAGACTCATCGTCATTACAAACTTAAAAGATGTAGTATTAAACAATATGACAAATATCGTGAGGAGACGTTTATATATAAAATTATTCAACCTAAAACTCCACAATAGGATATCGTAGTGACCAGAATATGCCTACGATATACATTTAGCTGACAATTTTTCCCAAACTCAAGTGTCGAATACGCCAAATGATTTTCATGACCATACTGACTATGGACTTCTTACGTTAAGAGAGCCTGAACTCTGCAAGTATTATGAGAATACTGGAACAATTGATATAGTTTCAATTCACGCAATACTTGCAATGTAATACAATAGCTATGTAATATATGTCATGTAATTAAAACTTCTAATCCATTCTGTGGTTGAATGTTCAGCAAATCAACATGTAATTCCAACAGCTTCCAGTCAGTAAGCTATTGTGGTTGCTTAAGTTAGCTTCCAGAGGTTGTTTAACAATATATACTGTTATGGTGGCTCCAGGTTGAAGTGACTCTCCCTACAGAGACTCCAAGCTAAATCTTACATCACCATCAGGTGACTAACTGGCGCCATAGTCCTCCAAGTGGTGGTAACTGGCGCCATAGTCCTCCAAGTGGTGGTAACTGGCGCCATAGTCCTCCAAGTGGTGGTAACTGGCGCCATAGTCCTCCAAGTGGTGGTAACTGGCGCCATAGTCCTCCAGGTGGTGGTAACTGGCGCCATAGTCCTCCAAGTGGTGGTAACTGGCGCCATAGTCCTCCAAGTGGTGGTAACTGGCGCCATAGTCCTCCAAGTGGTGGTAACTGGCGCCATAGTCCTCCAAGTGGTGGTAACTGGCGCCATAGTCCTCCAGCTGGTGGTAACTGGCGCCATAGTCCTCCAAGTGGTGGTAACTGGCGCCATAGTCCTCCAGGTGGTGGTAACTGGCGCCATAGTCCTCCAAGTGGTGGTAACTGGCGCCATAGTCCTCCAAGTGGTGGTAACTGGCGCCATAGTCCTCCAGCTGGTGGTAACTGGCGCCATAGTCCTCCAAGTGGTGGTAACTGGCGCCATAGTCCTCCAGGTGGTGGTAACTGGCGCCATAGTCCTCCAAGTGGTGGTAACTGGCGCCATAGTCCTCCAAGTGGTGGTAACTGGCGCCATAGTCCTCCAAGTGGTGGTAACTGGCGCCATAGTCCTCCAAGTGGTGGTAACTGGCGCCATAGTCCTCCAGCTGGTGGTAACTGGCGCCATAGTCCTCCAAGTGGTGGTAACTGGCGCCATAGTCCTCCAAGTGGTGGTAACTGGCGCCATAGTCCTCCAAGTGGTGGTAACTGGCGCCATAGTCCTCCAGGTGGTGGTAACTGGCGCCATAGTCCTCCAAGTGGTGGTAACTGGCGCCATAGTCCTCCAGGTGGTGGTAACTGACTCTACATTGCTTCCAGGATGCAATAAAAGGTATAATATAGCTTCCAGGAGGTAATGACTGGAACAAAAATGCTTCCATGACGTGGTGCCTTGTGTTATCGGACCACCAGATAACACAATTTTATAAGAACTGCCACTACAGACTTCCAGTTGTTAGTGATTGGTTATACAGGTGACTGTGACTAGTGAGAAGAGCCTACACAGGATTATAACTGGTGAAGGGAGCCTCCTAATGATACTGAATGGGGCTACCGACTATGTTGACAGGAGGCCGTTGAGACCACAGAACAGAAGATGGAATCGATGATGGTCTTGGTCTGACCTCCGCCGGAATCACCAGGCTGCGTGGGTGTGTCCATCACCCTCCCTCCCTTCCCTTCCTTCCTTCCTCCCTCTCCCTGCGGCTAGCTCCTTTTTTTTTAAATTTTGCCCCGAGGGGCGAGTTTATTGGGCAGCGCCACTCATCTTGTGAGTGGACATACCGCCATAGCAGCATGTACAACACTCCCCAATAGGAAGAAAACCCGCTGGGTTGTTCATCCTGTCACTTGTACCCAGACACAGCTGGGACTTCTTTTGGATGTACAGGAGACACACCAAAGAAAGAATGAAAGGAACGCAGGCAAGAGTTATTGGAAGAAGAAGAAGAAGATGGAGAGAGAGAGAGAGAGAGAGAGAGAGAGAGAGAGAGAGAGAGAGAGAGAGAGAGAGAGAGAGAGAGAGAGAGAGAGAGTCGGAATACCTACCTTCGTTAAATTATGCACACAAGTCCACGCTGGTCCCTCATTATGCGCCACAGGATATGAATGACAGTAGCGAAGAGTAAGGTAGTACGGAACCCATTCACAGGATTGGTACTGTAACCTTCCCACTGCCACTCACAGGAAGCAGTAAATAGGTACCTAGGAGTTAAGGCTGCGCTTATACGGGCTGCATTCTGTGGATGTGTGTGTGCGTGAGACAGGAATATATGTAGTAAATATGATAAGAGGAAAATAGGACGGGAGTTAGTACATCAGACAACTAAGGTGGGGTCCAAGAGCTAGCAGCTCGATCCTCCAGCCACAAATAGTAAACAAAGCCCAAACTCACACACACACACACACACACACACACACACACACACACACACACACACACACACACACACACACACACACACACACACACTCACACACACACACACACAAGTGTGCTTCTCCCCTCATTCCCAACCTCATAAGAAGATAGCACATTTCCCCAGTCTTTCATTTTCCTGCCTCAAAGGGAAATATCTTGCCCTCTTCTGCCTAACTCGGGGAGATAACACGTCTGCCCTTGCATCCCGTCCTCGAAATATCCTCTCTTCTTCTCTCTCTCTACCTTCATCCCCTGCTCACCTTCCACGGGTCTCTCTACCTCTACGAGAAGTGAGAGGGGAGGGGGATGTGGAGGAAAAGTGGGGGGGATGGTGGATAAAGGAAGGGGTGATGACCACTGACGACTGTGGTGAAAATGTTTAATATGCCTTGTGACGTTTCTCTTCTGGTCAAAGGAAAATACTCAAGGAAGAGTGTTCCACCCGTGGCCGTCTCTCCAGGTCGTTGAGCTCTGCCCCGTCCGGTTTGACTCCTTCTGCGGAGTAGAACGATCAGAACGATCTTCGACAAATGGTTAGAAAATTGTATTAAAATGGCACCGTCGACTTTTGTTGTTTCTGAGCCATTGAGACGTATTTCTATTTAATCGATCAGCCTTTGAGAGGAAAAAAAAGTCATTTGTTCTTTCTACCTCGGAAAGAGAGAGAGAGAGAGAGAGAGATGAGGCCTCACCTTCCTTCTCCGCCCCCCCCCCGCTCCTCCCTCCCTCTTCCCTCTTTTCCCTTCTCCGTTCACCTTCCCCTCATGTTCCTGCCTCGGGAACGGTGACCATATTGTGAGTCACTTGCCAGTATTGTGTTGGTGGAGCCGGCACCGAGGGGACAGCCATTCATACAGGTTATTTCATTGTTGTTCTGGCGGGTGAGGGGAACTAGCGGCAAGGCGGCGCAAATAGGTAAAAGAGGGAGAGTTAATATATGTGAAGGGGAGAGGTGAGGAAGACGGGTAGGAAGGAGGGGGAAGGAGTCAAAGACATGCATGTCCCATCCTATCTTACATACATAGTTATTCCTTTAAGAATGCGGCGCATTAGTACAAATATAAGCGACGCAATATCGTTTTCTATGCATTGGCCTCGATCGGGTTAATGTGAGTTAATTGGGTTCGGGCGTTTTCCGTTTGGCTAAACCGTTGTAATTTTTACGGAGTTGCAAATCAAGTGAACGGGCTGAAGAAACCTGAAAAAGTGAGAGATTTATAGGGGAGATGTCAGTGAGGCAGTAAGTAAGGGAAGGCCAAGGAGGGGAAGGAGGTGGAGAGGTGAGAGAAAAGTGGGGGGGGGTGAGGGGGTCTCACACAAGGGTGGTAGACAGGAGAGGTGAATTTATATCAAGTAACAGTGAAAGACTCAAAGGTCAGAGGAATGTGAGGTGGACCTCGCCACTGACCTTCCTTACTCTCAACTCTTCTGATATTTGAGACAGAGGCAGACTGGCCGACGGAATGTTATTCACACACACACACATACACACATACACGCGAGCATACGCGTTTCATATGGGTACTCAAAAAATGGGTATCATTTGTATCAACATTTGTATCAAAGGGTATCAACACGTTTCATTTGGGTACACACAAACTCTTTCATTTGGGTACTCAGGAATCTGTACATCAGTTGATTGACGGTTGAGAGGCGGGACCAATGTGTCAGAGCTCAACCCTCGCATATACAAATAGGTGAGTACGTATTTCACCCGCTCTCTGCCTCTCACCCACCTCTCCTAGTCTATGCATACTGACCCTCTCTATTGTTCTGCCCTCTACTGATTCGCCAGCCCCGCCCCCCCCCCTCTGACTCTCAGTCTGCCCCCTCCTCTTTACCCCCACCCGATCTCGTTGTTGTTATTAAGATTCGCTATTTGGAACAAAACGTTCCAAGTAGCACGGGCTATGGTGAGCCCGTAGTGGACTTACCTGGCACAGGAGAGGGGCTGTAACTGCACCACCCGACCTGCACCTCTCCGGCCCCTCTATCCAACCCATCTCTTCCCTACCCCCCCCCCCCCAGCCTCTCTCCTTGTTCCTCATTTCCCCCCCCCTCTACTTACCTTGGGAGTGTACAACAGTCCTTGTCTGCTTCTTAAACCCTTCTCTGCTTTATAACCAATCCTTGACTCCCACCCCCATCAAGGCCTCACGGCGCCGCCCTTCGTCTCAACCTCTCTATACCAAACATTTCCTATCTCAGAACCACTCATCACCTCTCTCAGCTCCATCCTACACTAAATGAAAGAAATAAAAGAGCTTTGAAAATTGCGGAAACAATGTCCAAGACGAGTACACCAATGCTGATGAAGCAGCAAACAAAGTAGAGGAAATAAAAGAAAGCGTTAGTGAAAAAGAACATGATATAATTGCAATAATGGAAGTTATAACATGATATGATCTCTGATGCAATATTTTCAGCGGAATACAAATAAGGAAAGAAAGAAACAAAAACACTGATAGGAAGTTGCAATCCTAGTGGAACGAAAGAGGAAGTTTGAGGAACTATAAGATCGAATTGAATACACAAGATCCAACGCAGGACTTTTAACAGCAGAGTGGAAAAAATAGTGATTCTATTGATATGCAACTTCTCCCCCTCCCCTTCCCCCTCCCTCTCCCCCTCCCCCTCCCCCTCCCCAAACAAACAACAGAAGACCCAGTGAAGAATATTATGATAACAACAAAGCAAGAATAGACGAACTGCAGAGAGCAGAAACAAGAGTACATACAATGAGAGGTAAAGTATTGGTCGTGAGGGATTTAAATCCCGAAGAAATCATTTGGGAATCGCGGAATCTCCATGGGGTTGGGGAAAGCAACGGTAGGAGTTAAATTTTTTCAAGTTATGCAAACTATGTTATGCAGAAACGTCTTTGTACAGCATGTAGAGGATAACACAAGAGAAAGGGGAGGAGATACACCAAGCCTACTGGACCTGATCTTCGCCCAGAATGAGGAAAACGTCGAGAACTTGAAATGCCTCAAGAAGCCAGTGATTATTGTGTTCTGGTCTTTGACTATACAATAGAACTTAAAACAATGACAAAAAGACAATGGAGAGTATACAATAGAAAATGGATTACATTGGGATAAGAACGTATCTGGAAAATATGCAATATGAGGAAGTCCTAAGAGGAATGACAAACTAGAAAATGATGGATCAAGTCAATTTGGAGATTCATACAGACTGAAAACATTCTCATACCAACACCGAGGAAAAAAATAGGAAAGAATATAATGACCCATGGTTCAAAGGACAGCGCCAAAATCACAACCGTAAAAGCAAGAAGTGGAGGAATTACAAAGGTCAAAGGACAGAACAAAACAGGAAAAGATGCAACAGGGCTAGAAACTAATACATAAATATAAGAAGAGTATTGGAAAGAAACTACGAAAATTATATTGTTTCTAAAGCAAAGAAGCACCCAAAACTATTAAATAGTCTTATAAGAAAGAAAATGACAGTGAACGACCAAGTGGCTATATTTTGAAAAAGGGGAAGTGAATATATGGGAAATGATTCGGAAATATACGAATAATTAAACGCCAGTTTCCGAGGAGTGTTCACAACTGAGCCGGAACAGCTTCCAGTGCAAGAGGAGAAGATAATTCTAGATGAGAGACAACTGGGTAACAGTTGTCAAAATTGAGGTAACAAGTGAGGAAACAATGTGAGGAATGGTTTTCTCACAAAAGGAAACATCATCATCATGAGTAGGGGAACCTAAAGCTATTGGAGCAGATAATGTATCACAATTGATGTTAAAGAAGTGGCACAGCCTCTCAGTGTACCTCTGTCATTGATTGATCTTGAATGAGTTAATTACAAAGGGAGAATTGTTCAGTTGCTGGAAGAAAGCAAATGTGGTACCACGTTACAAGACAGGAAACAGACAAGAGGCACTTAATTATAAACTAGTATCATTGACAGGTATCCCCTAAAAACTACTCG